TACAAGCACTTGGATGCAGAATGAGTATCAAGGTTCACTACTTACACAGTCACCTGGACTAGTTTCCAGAAAATCTGGGAGAAGTGAGCGAGGAGCAAGGGGAGCGCTTTCATCAAGACATTAAAGTAATGGAAGAACGTTACCAAGGTCGATGGGACTCGAACATGATGGCGGACTACTGCTGGAGTTTGATGAGAGACATTCCAGAAGCTGTACATAAGAGATCGGCCAAAAAGAGGAAGTTTATGTAACTGTAACTTGATCTTAATACTTGCACTATTTCTACCGCACATTAATTGTTTTTTTTCACCCTTCAATGTTACATTTAAATATTATATGTGCATTAACTTTCCAATTTGATATTAAAAATTTTTGGTTATAGAAAAATACAAATTATAATGCTGAAAAAATTTATGTATACATGTTTAAACCGTCAATTTTGATCCAAAAGTTTACGTTTCCCAGCAAAAGTGCAATATGGTATATCTCAAAAACCTGATGTGATAGACAAAAACCAAAGTCATATTTGGATTCTGCACCCCAAATTTACTTAAAATCCGTTTAAAAACCTTGTGCCAGAAAAATTGTGTTGACCGGTGTTATCTTTTTACTTTTTACGTTTAAAATTTAAAACCGTCATTTTAATTTTCATTTATTACCATCTAAGTAAAGCTATATTAGCATTTAATAGAGTTTTTGAAAAGAAAATGAGCTTTTCGTGTGAAATAACTGAAAAACGTAGGAAATTCAGGATTTTAACAAGAAAGAAAATGTAACTTCGTTCTTGGGGAACTTAAGAAAATTATAGGTCTTGGAGGAACTAAAGCAAATTATAGATCTATTATATAACTACAAATTTTGAAGTATTCTCACTATATCCACAAACAATACTGTACATTAATAAAGCCTATATGTTGGTAGTACTTAAATACTGCCTAGTTTACGTAAATGGTATAAAACTTACATTTAGATTCTGCGTGTTAAGTTGAAGCACTTTATTATTTATTTTCTCTTACTAGTACTTGTCACGATGTTGTCAAATAAAGCTTCCGAGAATCTATGGTTTGCTTGAAAGGACAAAGACCGTTGCTTACACTGTTAAAGAGGCCAGTGAATTCAATCGTAGATTTAGTAATGCATAGAAAGAACCCAGGCAGACATTTGTTGAATACGTTTATTTTATTTCGAAGTTTAAATATTTTTGAAAATTTAATGACCTTATGAGTGAACATTACTTAGAGATTCAGATGTGTATTTATGTGAAAGTGACTAATTTAGAGAAACCTCCAATTTTGATATTTATTTTTTATTCATAATCTTTCAAATAAAAGTCAATTGTGATCTGGCTTTTGAAGTTTTGATAAATATAGCATGAATTCTATTGCTTTCTACGGGCGGACACACTACCGTAAAGCTGTTAATGGTTGTTACGCCTGTTTAAATCCTGGTAAAACCACATTCATTAATCTCTATGGTGAAAAATTAACAAGGTATAAATAGAAAAATAGTAAAATTAGCAATAGCAAGGCGACAGTCAAGACATAGTGAAGTTTTATAGAAAAGTACTAGAAAAATTAAATGTCTTAAACACTTGCGATACGGTGGTTAGCCTAGTTAAGATTTTCCCGCCTAAATCCGTCATGTCTCCCTTTTGTGTGTTGGGAATTTGTACACTATAAATAAATATACAGTTAATTAAAAATTTCTCGATGTTCTAATTTCCTCAATATAACTGCATACGGCTTCAAAATTTTCCCGGGGGAATGACAGGCTTGGAGCTCCCAGATGTTTAGGCTCGCTTCACTCGCCACCCCACCCTCTTGGGTAGTTATAATGAGGGGGGGGGGCCTCCACAAAGAGGCTTCCCTTGGGCCTCTACAGGTCTAAATCCGGCACTGTTGGTCATGTGATATGGATAGTTAAGGACGAACCCGGCTTTAGTGGGGTAGATTCGGTATAGTTCCTACTGATATTTTTGGGAGTTTAGATCTAAAATATACGTACTTGTACATTAAACCCTATAACACTTAAAGTCCCATTTCTTGCCACTAATCTATTGGGTGGATCTATAGTAAAGACCAACCACGGCTATAGACTAACCGTGCGTTTTCTGGGGCTGTTTGGAAAATTTAAAGAGTTACAATATTTGACATTTCCTTCTCAAATGGCCTGTTGGTTAATGTTCAGGCTTGGATATCAACTTGTACCATCTTAAGGGTTTCTTTATATATCATTGACAAAGATAGCCACTATGCACATTCTATTAACACCTAAGGATATTAAATAACTTGTATTTATGTTATTACTGGATGAACAAACAAGTACTAAGCCATCACGGCTGTGAAAATAGCTGGTGTATTCGCATAGGTAACACGCACTGCTTCTGTTGGTATTAATATTTAGAGCAACCTGCTAACACAAGAAACGTATACCAGCACATCCGCTGTGAGTATACATATTGGCTTACTCGCATCCTGTAACACTCTTATACTGGTAATAGTATATTTATGGTTTCCATTCTCAACCTAGGATAATTCTCAATAATTATCATATATTTAAAGAATAATCCTTGGGTCCAGTCAAGATGAGGGTACACCAAGCTCGCAGCCACCCAGTACAGTACTCCCTTTTGGCGCGCCTTGTACTCGGTTTTATCTGGTTGTCTGCGCGACGTCCGGCAATCTCGATAGCTGCAAGTTACACAGGTTCTTGAGAGACGAGGGGGAGATGCATCACAAAGTGCAAATACAAAATATCGATGTCAGGAAACTCCTGGCTTTCACCACCGACGATGTCTAGTTACTTTATTTTATCACTTGGCACATAAGGCTTGTTTAAACTGTTAAAACATGAACACGCATATATTATATAAAGTTCAAACGGTTTAAATTCACTTAATATGGCGATAAGCTTCAGAGAAAGTGTCTGCTTGATGTCTTTAGTGAAGATCGAAAGGAATACATAGGATTTGGGTGGGGGGGGTGGGGGGGGGGCAGGGGGATAGATGTAGAGTTTACAAAGAATCTGGGCTCGACCAGATCGCTGCATTTAGTTTTTTTTTTCATTTGTTTTATCTTTGGGTCGTCAAACCTTTGTTTATAAAATTTGTTTTCGTTTTACCTGCTTTAACCAGTCCCTTTGACTGCTTGTCCCTCGTACTCTCATTATGTACGATGCATATGACCACTCCTGCACGTCAAAGGTACATGCATTTATACATAATCCTTTAAATCAATTGTTGTACATTTGGCTATGAAAACCAGTGTAATGGGTCTGATTGATTAAGCTCTTAAGGTTATTGTTTACAATCTAATCGGTGTTCGAGCTTGCAGTGTAAGACGTCAAACCCACAAGCTGGTAACATCATCATCTACAACACCAAAAAAAAGGAACAACGGGCTACTGAGATTTCACCGTTAGATTTTAGTACGATAAGAAGACCACAGTTTTCTTTCAGAAGATTAATTTCACTCACCTTTGTGAAGCAAAACTTACGTGACAATTTTACTAAAAGTAAATAAAGTTGAAGCTTTAAACATCCCTTACAATGAGTCTTGAATGTTTCATCTGTATGCAGACATATCTAACTTAGTGTAACACACTCATTCATAATTTCAAATCTACAAGATCGACATGAGACATTAAGAGTCTCTGAAGTACCCAAGAGAAAACAGAGGTGTCGGGTGTTACTGAAGCCGTGAGAAAACGGACGTTTCAACTCTGGAACTCAATAATGAAGTTTCAGCTACTTGTTTTATGGGCGATTGAACGTAACGTCAATCATTTGACTTTACATTAACAAACGTGTATGACTATGGTCAGTACAGTGTACTCGCCACTCATTTATATCCGACCCTATGGCAACTTACATACATCCGAATGTCCTGTCACGAATTTGTTGTGGCAAACCATACATTGGGCTATGAAAATCAGTGTCATGGGTCAGATTATTTTTTTAAGGCCATTGCTTACAATATAATCAGTGTTCGAGTTTGCAATACAATCATTAAATTGATGTCAAGCACACAGGCTGATTGTGGTCACGATTGTGGCGATAAGTTGACATGTTTCTTTCAAATGATTAATGACAATCTCAACAATAAAACCGACAATAATTTCAATACAGCCACCAGATTCTCGATTGGGAATTAAAACAATCTGACTTCAGTGGTGAATGTAACGCTAGTACGTTTCACAGGACGATATCAGGATTCTTCACTCTCCCTGGCAAATTCTATACCGAACTTACGTGACAATTTTACTAAAGGTAACTACAGCTGAAGCTTTCAACATTACTCACAATGGATTTTGAATGTTTCGGCTGTGAGCAGGTTTACATATCTTAGTGACTGATTCACAAGTTTAAATCTACAAAGATCAACATGAGATACGAGTCTCTGAAACACATTAGAGAAAACGATGTCTCGCATTGTCTCGGTATCACTGAAGCAGCGATGGTATGGATAGACGGGCTGGAGTTGGTGGTTGATTTATTTTAATTTTGTCACGTATAGTGACTACTTTATTGTGTACCCCATACTCATCTTGTGAGCGGTAGTACAGAGTGCAGGTCGCGAACGGCGTGTATAGCACACCCCAGTGATCAGGATATTATATTAGGGAGACAGTGCAGGTATACAATTTATATACGTAATGTGAACTTGTATTATGATTTTATTCTGAACAAATATCCATTAAGTATGTTGGGTAAAAAGACCATCAAAGTCTAAGTTAAAACTCCTCTTTTATTCACCATATTATGACGCCCCTGGTGGACACAAAAATCATATTCAATAAAACATTTGCAAACATCCGCCAAGTGGATGTTGTCAGCAGGATCAACCGCGAAGGACACCTTGTAATTATAGATATGCTTTTTGATATTCGTTTCCGGAAATGAACTTTTTTACCTCACCTAAACTAGGTTAGGTTAGGTCTGAATTTTGAAAATTTGGATACAGGTTCCAAACATGTAAACAGGAACTACTCTTCAAACCAGGGTAAGTGATTGTCTCAGTAGAGACTCCGGTGAAGTGCTGTTTGATCACCATAAAGACAAAAAATATATTGTCCTGACGGTACATGTTGTTTGGTTGCCTGGTTTATGCCTTCTTCTCAGGCATCACCTCAAGTAATATCTGGACGAAGCGATAGATTCTGTCTGAAAATAAACCAAAGATTATACTATATCAATGGTGAATATTGTTCGTGAGCATTATACATATTATTAGATTACTGTATTTCATAATGTACCGAGATGTGAAACATATGCTTGACTCGGTAGTCTAATATGGCTGTGAAGATAAAATACAAAATGTGCCACAATACGACAATGTGGATATTCTACGTTTATGTCATACACAGACTAATATCAAGTGTAAACAAACAACAGCAAGTATTACTGACGAATACAACACCAAATAATCTAAATCTGATATAAGGAGTTATGCGAAATCATCTGTTGCCAGTGACAGATGAGCTCTATTAGCACAACACAGTAAGAGTACTGTACTGCAGTTTCTACAGTTTTTAAAAATAGTGCAAATCACCTCAAGTCGACTCATGGTGTTTATAATAGACTGAATAATGTGGTACTGTAGTGTCCTGATGCAAGTGGTAATTTGTGTGTGCGTCGTAGAGTAAGTTTCAGTATAGACTCTTTGTGATACAGTACCTCAATAGGATAACTTAATATAATATACGACCAAGACGAAACAAATCAATCAATCGCCCTGCTATATTTCCCTTCATTCTTATGACACTGTAAAAAATAGGTCATGCTAAACTTCTGTAGTGTGTGTGAAGGTGTTAAACTGAACTATGAAATACAAACGTGGACCATTATCTGCACGTCTGGTACCCTCTGTGTGGGAGACTTTCACACGTATATACGGAAACGCTTTTTTGATATACAGTATTTTTCTAAGAGGTTTCATCAATTAATATTTTAAACAAAAAGGAAAAGTTAAACGCTAAAAAACAATCTTGCAAGGAATATGTTCGTCCACCCAGTAAGTAGTGACCACAGCTCCAGCATATGTATACAGTAATTGTACCATCGATTGCAATCATTGCAGTACACACATGAGTTCATGAGTTGTGAGTTCGAGTCCTGCACTAGATGTAGTTTTTTTGTGTGTGTGTGTGTGTGTTTTTTTTTTTTTCGCGGGGATTAGCCCACCTAGGTACAGGTCACCGACCCACATGGGACCCTTGGGGACGAAAAAAAAACACAGAAATGTAAAAAGTAATTAAACAAATCTAGAGTGAGAAACGATATATATATATATATATATATATATATATATATATATATATATATATATATATATATATATATATATATATATATATATATATATATATATATATATATATATATATATATACACGGGTTCACAAGACGATTTCGTTCCGTTAATCACCACACACCGCTTGAGGTCATGAAGAAAGTCTCCGATCCACTCTAGGACACTTCACCGAATCCCGTACCCTTTCATGGGTGTATAGTGTATACGCTCCCGTAATTCTTGGCAAAATACAGATATATATATTGTCAGTATCACCGTCCTGTTCCTGAATTTGAGTCCAAACATCCAGTACCTTGAGAAATTGTGCGTGCGAGGATGATGTCTATCTTCTAAACAATACTAAACTCGACGACGTGAAAGTGAATTTGGAAGAGTTCTGACTCCCTTCCTCCGGCTACTCCCTCTGGGCTCGTGGATTAATTCCCCGAGAAGGTACTGCTGACTGAGGTGGTTAACGTGAAATACAGTCGACAGATACCGAAAAACGTCTACACTCTACAGCCCATACAGGACTTACACTTGTGACCTCCAAAAACTGCTGGTGAATACTGCTAACGGTCTAATTAATTAATGTCATGCATACGCTTGTAGGTTTTATATTATCCGACAGTCGGATACATTTTGGTAAGTCATCTCTGTACAGCAAATGATACAAGAGAAAGGTTGCGGGATTATGACACAGGGAGCCGGTGAAGCACCGAGTCATGACATAGGAAGCTGGTAAGGCACCGAGTCATGGAGGGTTGATGTAAGACACTTCATGTAGAAGGATTACACTGTAGGGAGAGATACGCGGGTGAAGTCAACACTAAGCGGGGTAGGAACAGTGTGGGAGAGACCCATGATACTTCACGTTGGATTATTATCATAGATAAAAGAACTATAAACAGATGTGTCATCACGCATAACTCTGAAGATAACTGCAAGAGCAACTTTGAGTTAATCAAATACAGTACAGTACTTGCATACAACGAAAGCTGTACAGTATATAGTGTTTATTTTCACTAAAGATTTCAAAAGTATTCTTGCTTGAAAATACTAATGAAAAGTTTAATCTGAAGTACTATGATTGAAACTTACACCTAATTAATGTGCCGGGAAACACTTTTAATTTTTATGATGCGGCCATGAATGACTATTTTTTTTTATATGTTCTCCCCAATCGTATAGGCTTCCCAGGCAAACTCTCACGCCTAGAAAATCCTTTAGGCAGAGAATGTGAATTCACTCTCAAAAAATTTTAAGTAATAATCTAAGAATAAACACAAAAGCGTGCTGATAAATTGACAGCAGTCACCACGAGGGTACCTGTCAAAATTTATTTTTTAAAGTTTATTCGCATTAATTTTTAGTATTTCATTTTGTTATTTATGTCCAGGATTTTGTTTTGTCCGGTCAAAACTTGTTGTATCTCCTAGTAGCACAATGTCCGCAAGCACTGAAGGCAAATGCAATTGAAGCTTGCGTGGCGCTAAACCAACAGAAACGTTTGAAAATGCATCTCTATGGTTGATCTAACGCAAGCAACGACGATCAGTGGGATATTATGCTCAATTCCCCTCCTCGCCAGAAAACTATTAGAATACGGTACTGTATAGGAATAGTTAAAATGACCTAAGAGATGTAGGTCACTCATACCTCATTCTGTTCATGAACCAGACCACCACCACGTATTCTTCAGTGGGTTATTAAAACTGTCAATGTTGGCTCTATCACGAAGCTGACCGACTCCAGGTTTGGCACAAAAAAAAGTGTTAACATGGAGAGTATGAATATTATCCACATAATAGAGAAGACTGGATGCAGTTAAGTTTTATTGATTTATACCAACATTATCTAAAACCACATATAAGATATCAGCATTTACAGATTGGGGAAACATTGCTAAACACAACAGTGTCTGTGCACCTCTCCCCGAACCTTTACGTTAAAACACCTCTGTATAAAAAATTTAACCATGCACGACATACTCCGATTCAGAGATAGAAGTCATGTTCAGGTAATTAGTACAGGAAGCTCTTGATGTAATCTATGAGTTATAAAAGTAAATGAGTTTGTTTCGGTTTACAATTTATAGTCTTACTCCAAGAAAAATAATTAAAGACTCACGCGTTCTTACTGTTATCGAAGTTGCAGCCCGCAAGACTTGAACCTGTATCTCCAGCGTGTGACTACATTATAGTATTGTGACTCTTGTCACGGAGCTTGAACTAATACAGTAGATACTCATAATGGTATAGGCAATTACTCATACTAAAGCTACAACCATTACCCCGAATACGATCTGAAAACAGATGGCGCACAGAAATCTGCCCGTCGATAAAACCAGGAAGTTCAGAAACTTCTCGTTTACAAAATAAACGACGATGTTCATAAGGTTAGGAAAATAATATTAAATAATATGCGTTCCTAAAGTTGCTTCCTAGATCAGGGGATATGCATTTATCAGTTCAGCGTCATGCATGTAACAATAAATGCATGGATACAGTTGTCGTTTTATTTCTACTTTGTTTTCATCCCCGATGTGTTATAGTCTTCGAATTACTCTACATGAAGCAGACCAACCGTTAAGGTATGACAAATAATTATGCAAAAGGGAGAAGCTCAGCTGTTAAAACGTTTTTCAAATCAATAATAGCTCCTAATGACTGCCCAACGACCTCCTGTAGAAAGTATGACCTGGTAAGGTACAGTCTCGCCCAAGAGTTCGTTAACTTCCAGCCAGCTATTGCTGCACTGCTTGCTTCAGATGTTTGAAACTGTCTCAGTACCAACCAGAACATGAAACCCATACGAATGAATCTAAAGGTTCGAAGTAACAGACTCAAGTTCATACATCTGAAGCAGGCGCCAGGGAGTGCAGCAATAGCTGGCTGGGGGAGTTAACGAACTTTTGGGTGAGACTGTACTCGCACCAAACAGTATCGGTGCAGGGTGAGATCGACGACATCCGAAACGATACGTATACACTGATATGTCGGGAGGGATGGTAAGTGTATCCTCATAACCCCCCCCCTCCCCACTAGGTGTTGCCATATGGCTGACAATCAGTGTGTTTGTTTCCTCTTTTCGGATTGTTGCTTTGTGTCGACTGAATGATGAGCTAGGGTTCGGTCTCGGTGAACGTGGGTATAAAACAGAGGCAATATGAAGCAGTAGAGATCTACACATGCCAGACGACATGGAAACCTCAGAGGGAACACGAGGAGCTATTATTGCCCTTCATAACGAAGGGTTTGGCGTCACAGATATTAGCCGGCGGGTTGGTGTCCACAGGAACACCGCTGCACTATGGATTCGGCGATACCTCGAAACTGGTGCTACAGACGACAGGTCTCGGATCGGCCGTCCACGCTGCACCACCCCTCAGGACGACCAGGTTGAGTGGTTTATTTGGTAGCATAAATTAATGTGGCAATATTCACAAGTATCACAAATAATTTTGTTAACAGGGAGCTCCTCATATTTCATACTGTCTATTTGTCACTTCCCGACCTTATTTATAACGGTTTGTTTCACTTGACCAGGGTTATCAACATACGGCTGGAACAACTCGCCTTTCCCAATACCTATCGTCACTAGTCTCAAATTGTTCACACAACAGTATGCACCGATACTTTTCGTTGCGAGTGTACATACGTAAAAGTACCTGAGAAATTCGTATATAATTACCTGGTCTAGTCTTGTTCCAGGAACCAGGGCATAAGTTTTTGTTTAGTGATATAAAAACTTTGCGTTATAATTTGTTCGTTTCAGTTTTTATTATATCTTTCTTTGGACTATAGAAAAACCAAAAGCTTGCAGCCCGTACAGGACTCGAACCTGCGACCTTCAGTGTGTGATAATTATCAGAAATACTGACGCTCTACCACTGAGCTAACGGACAGATATATGTTAAGGAACAAATACTCTTACTGTAGATGAATAATGGTGTTACCTGTATAGATATGTACATACCAAGATATGTGAACACGCCTGACGCCAGGACTCTTGTTACCATTCATTGTACCATTTATTCACATGTCTGTATTACTACATATTATTATAGCATGTCTGATGTCTATGCTTATGTCTAATGCCTATGTTCATTTACTATGTCCCGATGTACTAG